CACAACAGACCTGGTTGAACACCACTGGTAATGGCTTCTCACTAGAACTCCAGGAGTATCTCTTGAAGTCAGTCACTAGTGAGCAGATGATTATTATCTGAAAATTCTTTTTTGTCAAACTTATACTGAATAGAAAATTTGACAAAAAATACAACAACAAAACTATTTATATACTTATCTCCAAAACAGATTTTTTGAAAAAAACAAACAAACAAACATCAATGTATCCCTTGACCTAATCAACTTTACAATCCTGTAAATAATAAATTGAAACTATTTACTGACTAAACTTTTTTTTCTAAAAACTACGCATATCATATTAGAAAAACAAGCACATGAAAAATAATAACTATTGAATAAACTAACAAACTTCATTGAATTAGCCAAAATCATTAACGTTTTGTTTTTCTCTCTCTTTCAGGTCAGTTCTTTTTCTACGACGGTATATTCTAAACATAAAAATTTAGAAAAAAAAATTTTTTTTGGAAAATGTTTAACAAAAGATGATCAGAAATACTTTTACATTCTGTAACATAATTATGACATATTTTAAAGTAACCAGTAACTTATTAAATACTATGCAAATATTTTGATTGAAACTATGTAAGAAACAACAAAAAAAAGAAACTAATGAGAAATGAAAGTCAATATTTGAAAATAATGATTACAAAAATCAATCATACCATATAGAACTTATACAATTCGATAATGTTGATTATGTAACTGTAATCGACTATTATTTATTTTTTTAATAACAGAAGGGGGGTTTGTGGATATTATAGTAATTTTAATAGTTGAGATTATGAGTTAATTGAAGCTAGACCAGTATAGAAAACCTGGAAGCATTGGACGGCTGTTTCATTCTATTATGGGACTTCTCAACAGTGCATATACACGACCTCATCTCGAGAGATTCATACCCAGGACCTATCGGTCCCGCGCGCCAACACTTAACCTCTAGACCACTGAGCCGGCATCCAATCAATGCTTCCAGGTTTTTCATGGTGGCCCAGCTTCAAGTGACTTATGATCTCAACTATGAAAATTATTTTTTTCTTTAAAATTTCTCTGAATAATATTAATAAATCAACCACTAAATTATTCGAAATATTAATAAACAATATTTTCAACTTACTATATAAGAACTTTTTTCTAAAGTAAACTAACAATTGATTGTATGAAGAAATGGTTTGACAAAAATCATTGTATAAACTATCTATCTATTTTAACAATGAGAAACTCAAAAGACAGTTTTTTAATCAACAAACTAACTGAAGTCTAAGTAGAAATGATTTTCTCAAATATATTCTGAACTGAACATCAACTGTTCAGTGAATTCCTAATCAGTATGATTATCACCTTCAATGTCGTTTCCTATTGCTAGTGCTAAGTTATTCAGCTTTTAGCTATAGATGGTATTAAGGGTGAAAACTTTCCTTAGGATCTACAATACACCAGTAAGGTTCATCCTGTGTTCAGAAACTGATTAGTAAGAATTACAGTAACATTATTCATAACTCTTGTTTAGATACACTGTGTATCAGTTAAGCATAACAATAAACTAGTAATGACTTGCAAAATTCCATAAAATTCTCTTTTCTCAGGTCCAATAAATTGAGTTCATTTTGATGTCACTAGTTTTTAAATATAATAAAGTACTTTAAGTCTAAATACATTGACAAAAGTGTGTTTTATAAGCACTTTAATACGACATAGCAGGTGACAATTATCAACTGTAGTGAAACCATCATAAGCTTGTAAGAAACGGAAAGTAATTTCAATTCATTATTCAATTTATTATCCAAAATAAAGATAAAGAACGATTTCGTTCATTTTCTTCAAAGTAAGTGAAAAAACTCACCTTAAGGAAGTTCGGCCATTTCAAATGACCTTCATTATACGGAGTCCCATACTAGGACGAAACGGCCATCCAGTGCTTCCAGGTTTTGCAGAGTTGTCTAGCATAAATCGACTTATGAATTCAACCATTAAATTGTTCCCACTTCTTGATTATACAGTACATATTCAATGAATATAATTTCAGTTCAGTGATTTTCTGTGTATCATTTAATTTCTGTCTACTAAAAAAGAAGCCTCCAGAATTCATTGCAACGTGTATAAAATTTAGTTAGGAATTCCTTACTGATATTGTCAAACTACTCATAGATAGTTTGTATCAATTTCGGAAAAAAGCAAATTGAATCTTTTGTCTATCAGACAGAAATTGTTGTTCAAAATTTGGGAAACTAAAAAATTCATAGTGGAACTCGTCAATATACAGTGTGTTTAGGTGAAAATTATGGAGACTTCCTCGACATTATGGAGTTCCTGAGAACATTGTCAACATTATCCGGAACTCATACGACGGACTACAGTGCAAGGTCGTGCACGGAGGACAGCTGACAGATGCATTCCAAGTAACTACCGGAGTCAGACAAGACTGTTTACTCTCTCCCTTCCTCTTTCTTCTGGTGGTCGACTGGATTATAAAGACCTCTACATTTGTGAGAAAGCACGGCATACAATCGACAGCTGATAATCAACTAGACGATTTGGACTTCACAAATGACCAAGCCCTCCTATCGCATACACACGAACAGATGCAGATAAAGACAATCAGTGTAGTAGCAATCTCTGCATCAGTGGGCCTCAACATACACAAGGGGAAAACCAAGGTCCTCAAATTCAAAGCGGAGAATAGCAATCCAATCACACATGATGGCGAAACTCTGGAAGATGTAGAATCCTTCACATACCTGGGAAGAATCATCGATGAACGAGGAGGTTCAGATGCAGACGTAAAGGCGAGGATCGGCAAAGCAAGGACAGCATTCCTGCAATTGAAGAACATTTGGAATTCAAAACAACTGATTGCAAGCCAATATCAAAGTGAGAATCTTCAATACGAATGTCAAGGCAGTCAGTTCTACTGTACGGAGCTGAAACTTGGAGAACTACAACAAGCACCATCACGAAGGTACAAGTATTTGTAAACAAATGTCTTCTCAAGATACCCAACATTCGTTGACCAGATTCATCAGCATTAGCCTTCTGTGGGAGAGGAAATATCAGCTTCCAACTGAAGAGGAAATTAGGAAAAGACGATGGAAATGGATAGGACACACACTACGCAAATCGTCAAACTGCATCACGAGACAAGCCCTAACTTGGAAACCTGAAGGGAAGTGGAAAAGAGGAAGGTGAAAGAACACATAACGTCGAGAAATGGAAGCAGATATGGAAAGGATGAATAACAACTGGAAAGGATTGCTTGAGACAGGGTTGGATGGAGAATGCTGGTGATCGGCCTATGTTTCTTCACGAGGAGTAACAGGCGTAAGTTAGTAAGTAATATTAATTAAAACCAATAAAATTTCTAACATTAGACTATACAGTAGAATTGAAATTCATGTACCAAGTTTAAAATAACTAATCATCCTTTTCTTTCATCATTCAAATGTAATCACTATGAAAATAAATTTAAAACTGAGGTTATCTGTGTTGAATTGATATATGTTTTTATATCTAAATATGCATTCGTGAGACTAATACATATAATAGTGAGATAATACAGTGTATTTTAATGTACTCTAACGAGTTCTCTTAAGTATAGTATATGGGTGATATTCAAGAGTTTTGTTTCACTAATACATTTGCAAGTCATTTTTTTATCTTCATTATCTATAAGCTACTAAAAAGTGTACCATTAAGATTTTATGAATGTATTATCATACTACTACTCAGTAGTTGACTTAAATAACACTAATTTCTCTATTCGATCATGGTTCTTAATATTTCATTTAATATATGCAATATATGGTGGAAAGTAAAGAATTTTCTCCTCTGAAGTCATCAAATAGTTCAAAGTCTTGTAGAAATCAATTTGACAGAGAGATCAAAACGTCAATAGTGCATAAAGATCGATAGCGAAAGTACTTTTTCTACTTAAATTATTTAGGATTTGAATGACACTTGGTACGATGACCGAAAATTGGGCTTTACAATCAGATCATGATTGATTGGAGAATAAAGAACCCACAAGCTAATTTTCTCCAGTCACCTATGACGTTTTATCATACTTATTTTGTGTTAATATTCTGTAAATAAGCAAGTTATTTTATTGCAGCGACTATTTTTGCTAGTGGTCTTGTTTTTGATTTCAAATAATTGAATGTTAAATTCAATGATGAGGTCTCGCGAACAAACAACAGTCGGTCGCACTATATCATTTGTCAACTTTCGTTCCGCTTGTTGATTTCAAAAATAGAAAATACGTTCATGAAATCATCAAAAACCTTGTAGCGTCAGTTACTATGTTAAGCCCATATAACTTATTCTAGTTTCTGGACAAACCATTTTATCCATCCTCCTCAGGCTACATTTTGACCTTATTAATTATTGACTTATCAACCTTGACTGTTTTTATGTAAGCTTATATGTCTCCATTTCTTATCTAACTCATCACATGTCTGTAACTTGCTTTTATCTGACTATAAATATCGATTAACGCTTGATTAAATGGTGTTGGCTTATACGCCTACTCCACTATGCGTCATTTGGCGTCGCTTCTCTTTATCTATCTATCTTCTTCGCTTCCTTTGTTCCGTTTCGCTGATTATCTGTGCCGATCAACGATAGTGACAAAGTTTCGAATACATTATTCAAGAACTAAATAAATTCAAGGTTATAAACACATTCGTGTAATCAGTGAATTCTATTAAAACCAGACTTGTCAACGTGCGTAAACATGTTACCACAGTTGTTGTTATTACAGTAGATCGGATTAATTCAAGGGGATAGGTATATTTGTTAAATAATATATTCAGCTTACGACTAACACTACACATGACAGCTAACTTAATTTACAAAACAAATTTGGATAGTTAATCACCTTAGAAATAAGGTTGCTGAGTGATCTAAACATATACAGGTTGGTACTTGAATGAAATAAAAAAGTTTACAAATGACTTCTATAAGTGAGTAAATCATTATTCAGTTTTGTCTACAAATGATCAGTTATATTGGATAAATAATGGAATAATGTACACAAACTATCAATATGTAAACATAAACCTCACTATTACTTATGTTTATTTCTACTAAAAAGTTAACATTTTACCATTTAACGGTGCTGCTCTAAGACTATGAGGCTTCCATCTTACATAGCTACTGAAATTTTTAATATTTAAAGATTATGACTTGTATATGTTAGGAAAATATAACTAATGATTTAGGTAAAAAAAGGTTTTGGTGGAGTTTTCTTCTCTGAGCTGGGTGGTTTGGTCGTGGAGCCTTTATCGTTCTTCTGAACGACATCATCAACACAAAATCCACCATCTTAAAAAAAGGTTACTATTAACCGTATATAAACTTTTATGAACTAAATTTTCATGACAGACAAAAAATGATACTGGAAACATGGGTTGTAAATTACAGAACGTTCATGTAAGTTCTATCATTTTCATCAATTTATTTTAGCGAATAAAAACCACTAGTCTAATGAATAAATGGATGTTTTAAATAGTAAACGAAGATTTCGTCTCTGTTTATTTCTTTTATCGTAAAAATAGAAAAATATATTTGTTTCGTAGCTCTTTGCTCCATTGAATAATATCCTGAAAATACTCTAAATCATAAATTGACTTCATTTATACAATCAGAAATTAGATGTTTTGTCCTGGAGGAACAAGTTTAACAAGCTAGGTTCTACTATCATTACAGTACATGATTTAAATCAACTTGAAACTATATTTCTAATGATAAAAAATATATGTACTTTCAAAGGTATACAAAACAAGCCCGTTAAAAATAGCACAGACAAAACTTGTTTATTGTCATGTTTCATATAAAAAAAATAATGATTGATATCAATACGTACAAGGAAATGTACAAGCACGCAGGTTCATGTTCATTTCTCTCCAACTAAAAATCAATACTTAAAAAGGCATATAATAATTTGCTTCAAGCACATATGAGGTCAATATGTATATATACTCACTTAAAGTAAACAAGCTATTGTTTCCATTTCATATTATCCAATAAAATTCCGACTTCAAATACACCAATCAAAAGGAAGGGACTGCTTTGAGGAATATTAAAGTTCAATTTATTCAGATAATGTCACATAAACATATTACTGTGTATAAAAAGTGGATCAGATACATTTTATTCCCTTATTAACTCTTATTAATTTTCCATCTATCGTTGGCCAAATATATTAATGTCCGATACAAAACATAAAAAATGTGAATGTTGTGAGGAGTATGGAAATGCTGTGGCTTCCGGATTGTTTCGTAAAAAGGAAATAGGACGTGATATGAAAGAACTACTAAAAACTGGTTTGAACCGATGTTTAACAACATTAGATTTAATAGCATATGGATTAGGTGAGTTTTTAGTCCATATACATATCAGTTTTGTGAAATGAATTAAAACAAGTATTTACTAAATTGAAAATCGTAAATCTCTCATTGTATGTAACCAGCTATGTCGAAAATTGTTAAAAATCATTATGCACTCAAGTTTTTAACTTCACCTGTAGCTCTTTTACTATAACTACCGGTCCCAAAACCGGATAAAGGAGGATGGTTGGGCACGGAGACACCAACCTCATCCAGTAGAAAACAACATTACTAAAAAATGTTAATCAGAAAAAAAAACAATTAAAAACATTTAAACTATGTCTTCCCAGTTGAACCACCTTCATCCAGAAGAATTATGACACCTCATGGTGAAAATCAAGATTCTTCGAAAATCATCAGAACGATACTCCTTCTAACAACCACAGATGCAACTACTATGGGTACATGGAATGCTTGGACAATGTGTGAGTCCGGAAGGACCAGTCGAAAAGCTACGGAAATGAGGAGATACAACTTCATCGTGCTCGGAATCAGTACAATCCATTGAAGCCTAACTGAACAGAATAGATTCGATTCGCTTCGAGAGAGATGCTGCAGTGCTCTGATCGCGAAGATGCAAATGCTCCAAACACTCACAGAGTTGCTCTGATGCTATCCAAACAAACACGTACAGCAATTACAAGATAGCAATCTCATAGATCCACAATCATCAAAGCGTCATTGAAAAGAGAGAAGGAGGATGTTACAATGAACACTATCCAATGTTGTGCACCCATCAGTGATAGAAATGATAACGATAATGATCAGTTTTACGAGAGACTGCAGTCGATCATGGTGAAGTGCTCAAGAAACGACTAACCATACTCACAGTAGATTTAAACACCGACATCAGAATGGATAACACCGGATATGAAAATATCATGGGACGACATGGACTGATTAGGAGGAATGAACGAAAATGGTGAGATATCTGCACATTTATGTGCATTCAACAAAATAGTTACCGGTGCCAAAATATTCTCACACAAACGCATACACAAAGTTACATAGATCTCACTGCACCACACTACACACAATCAGATCGATCATATTTGCATCTCTTGAAATTTCAATAGGTCAATGGAAGACGTGAGAACCAGGAGAGGAGATGATATAGCTTCACATCACCAATGACCCAGTGACTGCCAAAATGCAACTGAAACTGAATAAGCAATGGACAACTAGGGAAATAGCATTACGAATGTTCAATACAGCCTTACATTCGACATACTGACAAACCCAACCAATTCATGATAGATCTCAACAAGTGGTTCCATGAATTACAGGATCCACTGGAAGAAGAGGAAACTACAATGGAGAACAGGTGGGAATGTATGAAACAAACACTAACTCTTATGTGTCGGGAATCCCCGTGCAGTAAGGAGCATCATGGTAAGGAATGGATCTCTATGGAAACCGTGTTTTGTATTCAAGAAAGGAAGAACATGAATATACTAATTAACAACAGCCGAACAACAGAGAAATTCAAGTCACAATCTGAATACACAGAATCAAACAAGCAAGTGAAGAAGAACATCAGAACTGACAAGCAGAAATACATGGAACACGTAGCAATGACAGAGTTAAAATCTGAAAGAGAAGGGTATTTGAAACAACTATATGATTCAATGAAGAAACTAGCCGGGATATTTTGGTAAACCAGAAATATCGGTCAAAGACTAAGAAGGCAGGACGATCACTGATATTCATAGACAGAGGGACAAGTGGGTAGAGCACTTTGAGCAAATCATGAAAAGAACAGCTCCATTTAAACCACCGAACATCGAAGCAACACACACAGATCTTTCTATAGTCATCACTCCACCAATAATCGGCCACCAGACAAATGGAGCATGAGAAAGCAGAAGGACTTGATAATATACCAGCCGATGCAATGAAGCCGTACATAGAAATAACTACAATCATAACCACATTCTATTCAGGACGATGTGGGATGAAGAACAAGTGCCACCGACAGACTGGAAAAAAGGATACCTCATCAAGATACCAAAGAAAGGTGATCTGAACAAATGTGACAACTAACTAGAGAGACATCATACTACTATCGGTAGCGGGAAAAGTTCTCAGCAGAGTGGCAGCAGCCCCTACAGCAGTATGGAAAACCATCATCCTCAAATCCAATATGGAGAACAACAATACAATCACACTTGATGGAGGAGCTCTACAATAGTTGTAAACATTCATGTGCCTGTCTGGACAGTATCATCGATGAACGTGGAGGATCTGATGCACACGTAGAGACAAGGATTGGCAAAGTAAGCACAGCATCCCTACAGTTGAACAACATATGCAACTCAAAACAACTTTCTCTCAACCAATATCAAAGTCACAATCTTCAATAAGAATGTCAAGACTGTTCTACTATATGCAGCTGAAACTTTCAGAACTACTACAACCACCGTCATAAAAGTACAAGTATTTGTAAACAGTTTTCTACGTAAGATACTCAATGTCTGCTGACTGGTTATCATCAACAACAGTGTACTGTGGCAGAGAACAAACCAGGTTTGAGCTGAGGAGAAAATTAAGAAAAGACATTAGAAGTGGACAAGAAATACATTGAGGAGATCACCAATCTTCATCACCAGGCAAGTGCTAAATTGGAATCCTGAGGAGAGACGGAAAAGGAAGACCAACGAACATAATGCGTCGAGAATTGGAAGCAGATATGGAAATGATGGATAGCAATTAAAAGGATTTCCCAGGCCAGAGTTGGATGGAGAATGTTAGTAGTTGACCTATGCCCATGGACAAGGAGTAACGGGCGTAAGTAAGTAACTACTCGATTTTGTGTTTATCTGATCTCCAACAGTAATAAATATTATGGCCCTGATAATCCTGTATATTGTTTCTAACATCAGATGAAATCTGTTCGCTGTGACAAATCACATTAAACTATATTTCACTGAATTCGTTTTTAAGTTTTCAGGGGTTGTCATCTGAATATAACGTATCTAGGTTTTTTAACGTTTCCTGGCTGTAGCTCATTAGAGATTGTTTGACTGACATTCGAAGCAAATCATTCATATTATTTGCTTGTAGCTGAGAACTAAAATATCTTTGTTAAGATTTGTTCATAGTTATGTGCATACATCCGTACAAGGAATGGTGTTATCTATAACCACTTTTATTCATAATGTACTAGATAAAACCGATAATGAATAATCTTTATAAGTATCTCAACATTAAACCTTTTAAAGGCTATGTTGCAGCCTGAAAGTGATTCATAAAGTTTGATGTATACACGCCTCACGAAATTTGTAATCAATAATCCTTATTACATTGTGTGAACAACTTAGGTGTGGCAAACTGACCATCTTAGCTACTTAAATAGAAATCAAACTACATTCAAATAATTGATTGGATACATAAGTATTACAGGTAATGAAAACCTTAACATTGTCTTTTCTATTCCGTAAACAAATGGCTATAATATCCACTTAGCTGTATTTCTTACTGTCATCACAAGATTGTATGAGTATGTTTGATGTTTATTTATTCCTGTAAACAATTTTATAAAATCTAGAATTTCCATTAAATTAGGTTAAGAAATGTTACTAAACAACTACTAGAATTTCTTTTAATCTGTCTTCATTTTATGATGACTATTCGATAATAATGATACCTTACGAATTATTTACAATCATAATCTCACAAATTCAGTATCCAGGACTCAAATCCCATATAATCTGAGTATTCCTAAAAATAATCGATATCAGAATTAAGGATGTGTTTACTTGAAACTTTTATTTTAAACCATACTTAATATAGAAGTACGCAAAATGTCACTTACGTAATAATAAGTTTAATATGAACTATATTTTTGACAAGAATAAAGATTAAGTGAAGTAGAAGCTACATAAATTACATTCAAAATCAATCAGTAAGCACTACATATTTTTAGTTAATAATATGAATACTTTTGATTGTTTCTACAACCAAGGTAATGAACGGTCACTCAAAGAAAATCCAACGTTATGAATCATGCATCGTTGAATGAATGAGGTTAAATTTTTTAGTACTATATAACACAGAAAAAATAGTTGTTCAGTTTTAATTATTTTATGTAGATTCTGGAATCGCTATACTGGTTGATGAAAAACACAAATCTAGTAATTCATTATTTTCATAATTATCTACAGATGTTTCATTTAGATTAAGTGGAGTACCAGTATTATTTATAATTCTTTGATCTTTGCAAACATTTCCACAACCTTCACATTTACTAGTATTAGCTGTTGACATATGTTCGTAAAGTGTTAAGTTATTGAATTATTGATGACCATTTTCTGGAATCTGAGTGACTTCCGTCCAGTGCTTCCAGGTTTTCTATGGTGGTTTAGCTTCAATTGACTCATAATCTCAACTATTGAAATTAATACAATCTCCACAAAACTCCTTATGATAATAATTATGTTATATATTGTTTTTAGAAACAAGTATATACTCATAATTTTATTGTGGTTTAAATGTATTTTGTTTAAAATTCATCTACACACTTTCCTCCAATATCTATCAGCTGTTTTCGTCGTTTTTCTATGTAATGTCATCCAATTGAGTTACGTGATTGAATAAACTGTTTGATGTAATATAATTAAATTATTCATTGATTAATTAATGTACTTAATCTAGTTTCATTTAGATAGTTTCACTTTATAACTCTCTACCTTTTGTGAGAGCCATTTAATATGCTGTCAATAAAAGTGAATGTAGAATGATTGTTAGAAATTCTTTATTACAAATTCTTTCATGAATTCTATAACTCATTAAAACAAAAACTTCAGTAAAATTTCTGTTTTTCAAATATTTCTTCCTAAGAAATGTCTTTTCTCAAATCGTTAAATAACTCAATAAATTCGATATATAAACATTTACTTTACAAATGTCATTCAAATTATAAACCCTCATTTATACTTCGAAAAGAACTTCAACACTGAATTCATATTTTGTTTCTTAAATGAATA